GGAGGCAACTTACCCTCCCTCTTCTCCTGCCTCCTCCTGGCTGAATGAGGGCCAGAAGCGGGGCAGCCAGAAGCAGGGGGCGGGGCTTCGTCATGTGCCCCGCCCCCTGTACCTCACCCGGGGGAACTGCGATCCCCCCTGAAATGACCTCTGGTCCCTGCCTTCCACGATCCTGCTTGAACAGCCAACAGGAAACAGTCAGTGAAGGAGCCTGAGATTCTCTCTTGGCACTGTCCAAACCCACTGTGTGCAAGCAGGCCTCTTATCCTCAAACAGGGCAACTAAGCATAGAGATTTCACACACACTCGCTTGCTCTGGCCTCTGCCAAAGGCGGAGAGTACTGATTCACTGCTGCCTTCCGTAGTTTCAAAAACAGGATGGCCTTTTTGGGGGGGGGGGAGGCTCTGACTATCCCCTATTTCGTGTTGTCGCACTGGACTCTAATCTGGGAGAACCGGGTTTGATTCCCCACTCCTCCAATTGCACCTGCTGGATGACCTTGGGCAAGCCATAGTTCTGCTAAGAGCTGTTCTTGAAAAAGGGCAATTCCTGTCAAGAGCTCTCCCAGCCCCACCTCCCTCCCAGGGTGTCTGTGGTGGGGAGGGGAAAGGAAAGGGAGGGGTAAAAATCCAATCTCTTCTCTTCTTCATCTTGAAGGCTGTTTTGTGCCTGACGCCAGGCTGTCTGCAACACTCCCCCCCCCCACTTCCACTTTAAGAACACTTCAGTTAACGTTTCATCATGCCCCCAAAGTGGCATTTATCCCTCTTCTCCCCCTGTCCCTCCCTGGGTACCTAACATCCAGCCGAAGCATTCTGCAGAACAAAAAAAGTTTTTGCATGTGGGTTGCAGTAGCACATGGTTGAGTATTGTGCTGTTGTTGCATCATACTGTAGTAATGGTTTACCTCTCTCAGCTGGTTTTGTCTACACACACGCACACACAAATCCACTTGTGAATTACTGCAATGCCACAGGGGTCCCTAAGGTTGTTGAGCCTGCAGGTGCTCTTAGAAAGTTGAGAACAAGCACCGAGTGCTATAAAATGGCTGCCACAGGGAGGTGGGGCGTAGCTGACCTCGGAGCAGCTGTCTGGGAGCTGGGACCAATCACAGCACGGTGGGAGGTTCCAAGCCAAGCTTCCTCCTGTGGTTGGAAGTGCCTCTCTCCAAATGGGTATACCTTTGCAGCCCGAAAGTGAAGCCTCCGTGGCCCTTCTGAAGCACCTCCCTGCTCCAGCAGAGGGGGGGGGGGAGCCAGAACTGGCCCTTTGCTTTGGGGAAGAAGGAAAGAAGGTGCTTCCTGGTGCCACGTTGGGGATCGCCGCTACAGCACAACAATAGTACAATATCCGACAATGTATGGATGTAGCCTCCCCGTGCCATGATATTTTGGATGGTCCTGAGTTTTTTTTAACCGCTGCTGTTTTGGGAATTGTTCTACAGAGCAACTTATGATCTTTGGCATTTGTGCAGGCTTGAGCTTTAGAAAAAACAGAGGTAATGTATTTACTTTTGTGCTGGTGCTTGACCGTAATAATTTGTTTGTTCAAAAAAAGGGGGGGGTGGCGGGAGATGACAACATTTCAGGAAATTGTTAGCGACTAAAATCGTTGGTGACTAAAACCGTTCCCTTTTGTATACAGCAGCTGATTGCCTTAACGACCTTGACTTCCAGACAGAAGGCCGGGGAAAGCTCAGACCAGCGTCCTGTTGACAGACAAAGTAGACTTTTATTCCTGGAAAGTCTGGAAATTGCTCTGAATTGGAGAACGGGTGTTTTGCTGCTACTGGGAAGCTTCCCCCCCCCTCCTCTGGTGAGGGTTACTAATGTCAAAGCATCCTGTGCAGAGAAACAAAATGAGCTGCAGGAAAGAAAAAAAGCGGTTTTTGTTTGACTCGGGGAAACCGTCTTTTCCAGAACCCACAATGTGCTCCTGTGCGGCTATATTTTTAAGGTGCCACCTGGCCAGCAAAGACAACCACTGCTCTGCTTCCATTGTAGGCCAAGATATAGTTAAGAGGAAGGGGTCCTCCAGGCCTGACCCTGCAAAGCTGCTCAAGGAGACCTGACCCGTCTGACCCTGGGAAGGGGGCAAGGCCTTGCAGGCTATCTCAGAAGGAGCAGCTGGGACTTTCAGGCTGCTTTCAGGCATCAGGAGTGCCCTCTAGCCCAGCCCAGTTCATTCCAGGGGCATAGGACCTTCCTCCGGCTTTTGCACACAGGGCCACTCTTGAAGACTTCTTGGTGCAGGAAGCTGAGTTGGGATCTCAGCTGCAGAGAGACACAAACCGCAGTTTGTTAAGACACGCTGCTTCTGAGGCTGAAACAACTTGGAGTTTGGTTGGGGACTTCCTAAACCAGAAAGTTTCACCAGGGTAGCCATGCTGGCTTGCAGAGGAGGGGGGCGTGGTGTGGCTCAGTGGTAGAGCATCTGCTTGGCTTGCAGAAGGCCCCAGGTTCAATCCCCTGGGCACCTCCCGGGCACCTCTCCCTGAGACCCCGGAGAGCCACTGCCAGTCTGAGCAGGCAATGCTGAACTTGATAGGCCAATGGTCTGATGCAGTATAAAGCAGCTCTTCACGCATTCAGTAGAAGAGCAAGATTTGAATCCGGCAGCACCTTAGGGGCCAGCAAGACTCTCGGGGGGGGGGAGCTTTCGACAGCCAAAGTTCCCTTCATCAGATCTTACGAAGGGAACTTTGGCTCTCAAGAGCTTATCCCCTGGAAATCTTGTTGGTCCTTAAGGTGCTGCTGGACTCGAATTTTGCTCTGAACCAGACAGTTTTACTATGGAAGGAAGGGGGACACGAGCCCAAAAGCCAACCAGGTTCCCGGTCGTTGTGAATGAGCTCCGTGTCGGTTTAAGTGTTTGAACAGAGGGTCTCTGCAGCTGTTACAAGAAGCTTCTTGGGGACACCGGATCCTCGTGGCTTCCTCTTGGGGCCTTATGCTTGGGAGTCTGTATAGGTGTGTCATAAACCCTCCTTCCCACCTCCCCTCTGTTTTCCTTTTCTAAACTGAAGAGCTCCAAACACACAAAACAAGCATCTTTCCAAGTGTGCAAAGGGGGACAGAAGGGAGGATTCGGAAGCAAAAAGATGCAGTCATAACCGTAGGGAAGCAGTAGGTAGTGTGGTGTAGCAGTTAGTGTGGCAGACTAGGATCTGAGACACCCACTGTTCCCCAGTTGCTGCCTCTCAGCCTAGCCTACCTCACAGGGTAGTTGCTGAGAGGCTAAGATGGCGGAAGGGAGAACTTTGTCTGCTGCTCTGAGGTCCCAGTCGGAGGGATGGGGGTAAAAATGAAATACAGTCACCATGGAGACTGAAAGCGATGATGTCACCCTAGCGATGCATCTAGCTGAGAACTGGCGGTAGCAGCTTTCCAAGGTTTTATGTATGGGCACACAGTGCCCCTGTTTGTTAGCCACCCTGAGCCCATTCGTGGGGAGGGCGGGGGTAGAGATTTAAATAAATAAGGGCCCTGGCAAAGGTCTTGCTCAGTCCCGCTCCTGGAGGCTACCCAGGATCTAAATCTGGACTGAACCCACATCCTTCTGCCCACAACGGCTCCCAACCACAAAGATCCGTGTTGGACTCTTCCATTGTCTTTTCTGGCCGGGTGTGGCACTCTGAGGTCCCAGGTGTGGGGCTTCCCAGCGGCTGCTACACAAGACCCCTTCCCTTCTAAGGAACTGAACTCGAGACTTCTGTGACTACCCCCTCCCTCCCTCCATCCCTCCTGCAAGCCTTGCGGCACCCCTTAAAGCAGCAGTGGGGCTGGCTGGGCAAATGAAAGTGTCCTCTAGTAACAGCTTATTAACAATTGCACTTCTAATGGGGGGGGGAGTTGTCAAGAAAAGCCCTGAGATGGCGGGGGTGGCTGAGAGAGGCTTCCAGTGACGGGGCTGAGAAGGGCGTGCGGTGACTTCATCGCCCCTCGGATTCGCAGGCTCCAGCTCAGTGCTCCAGCGTATTCTCTGCTAAAGGCAGAGCACCTGCAGCAGCACCTGGCCTGCCCTGCAGGGCCATTGCAAGGACTGCAACAACCCACAGCCCAGCTCATGGGGCTCTTGTAAAGACACAGCGCCAGTGTGGGGTAGCAGTTAAGAGTCCTCAACTAGGATCTATTCTCTGTTGCTCCAGATTACAAAACTAGATCTAATGGTTGGAAATTACAAGGGAGTCGTTACCAGCTAAATATCAGGAGAAACTTCCTAACTGTAAGAGTGGTTGAGCAGTGGAACAGACTGCCTCGGGAGGTGGTGGATGCTCCTAAGCTGGACGTTTTCAAGCGGAGGCTGGACGACCATCTTTCGGGTATGTTGTAGGTATGTAGGGCTATCTTTCGGCTATGCTCCTGCTGGGTGCAGGGGGTTGGACTAGATGACCTGCAAGGTCCCTTCCAACTCTAACATTCTATGGTTCTATGATCTGGGAGACTCGGATTCAAATCCCTGCTCTGCCATGGAAGCTCGCTGGGTGACTGTGGACCCGTCACTCTTTCTAAGCCTGTGGTGTAGATCAAATGCAGGAGGGGAGGAGGAGGATGTAAACCACTTTGGGTCCTCACTGGGGAGAAAAGCAGGGTATAAATACCTAAATAAGATCACCTTGCCAAGTGGCCTACCTTGCAGGGCTGTTATGAAGGTTATGAAGGTTAGTGTGTACCCAATGAAGCACTTTGAACACTGAAAGTGCTATATAAATGCTAAGTGTGATTAACTCAGAAGACAACTCCAGGGTTCATCCAGCTTTGGAAACTGGGTGTGTGGGCATGAGGGACGACACACTTACATGCCTGAAGGTTCTGCGGAGATGCTTGAACTGCACGTAAAACCTGTAGAAGTGGAGCTGGCTCAGTTCATGGAGAACCACCACTACCGTACCAGTCAGATGCCTTTGGTGATGAATATAGCACCACCTGCAAGTTAAAGAAGACAATAGGCACGATTCTAGAATTGATGGGCAAACTTGTCCTGTTCATGTTTGACAGCCCGTGTGGTATAGTGGTTAGAGCATTGGGTTAGGGTGGGAGAGAAATAGAATGCCTTTAGTCTTTGCAGAAAAGGGCAATGGAAGGAATGCTCATGCCTGAGGCTCACAGACATCACAGACTTTGTGGTCTGTGCTGTCAGAATGTAGCTTCAGTAGGAGGCAATCTAATAATGGAAGCAAGCCTGTGCCAACACTTGTAGCCCATCAGCGAATATTAGAACCATGTTGGGTGGGAGACCTTTAAATAGCTTTGTTTCTTCAGTACACACAGGATGCTTTATAGAACATAAATGGAGGCCCTACCTGGGCTTAGCAGCATTTTGGCCTTTCCCCAAGGCAGCATATTTCAGGAATTCATGCAGTTGGTCATAGCTGATTTCGCAATCTTCTCCAAAGGCTTCAGTTGACAAGTGAGGTTTCTTCTCCTGAGAAACGAGAGAACAGGCTGTGAATTGTTTACACAGACGCAGAGTTTCGGGATTCCAGCCACCCCTTACAGTAATGAAATCCAGAAGCGGACAGCTTGTCTGGCACAAAAGGGCACAGTAAAAACTGTGCTTGGAGCAGGACAAACATGCAAGACTCCCGTTACGCAAAACTAGCATTCCTTGGAAAGGGCCCTGCATAAGCAATGCCGATGCCAAAAGACTTTGCCGTCAGACACGCTGTTTGCGGAGCCCACAATCTGGACTGAACAGCCCCAAATGTGAACAAACACAGAATCTTTAAAGAATCATGAAATGTACAACTGGGGGGAAAAAGATTTTCTCTCTCTTAAGACAGGATCTGCCTTCTGACTGCTCAGTTCCTTAAAAGGGGGGGGGAGGGAATTCCACACCCACTTAAGTCAGGTTATTCAGCCTTATCTTTCAATCCGTGAGGGATACAAACAGTCTGAATCCTGCAAATAAAAAAAAAACAAGAGCCTGGTACTCATTAGTGACCTAGCATGGCCTTTTGCATTCCACTCGGCCATTTGTGGGCCAAATCCAGAACTCCCTGTTTGTGGCTAACTGGAACCTCCATGTTCAGAGGAAGTATACCACCAAAGCAGTAGACAGGGAGGGCTGTTGCTTGGCCTGTAGGTTTGCTGGAGGCATCTGGCTGGCTATGATAGGAAACAGGACACTGGATTAGATGGTCTGGTCCAGCAGGATTTTCCCCTGAGGAGCCCATCACAATAGGATGGCGTGAAAGCCAGGGCCATAGTGGGGAGGAGAAGTAGTTTTCCTAGTATTCAGGTCCAGTTGAAAGTCCCCCTCCCCTGCCAGCTTCCCTTCAAGGCAGTAGCCAGGTACCCTACTATCCTGCCTGCATAGGTATTCCTCAGCATCTTCTAAGAAGGGTGACACCGACGTCTGTCTGGAGGGGTCTATTTGTTTGCCGCTAGAATCCCAGGGGGCCCACCACTGTGTTTCACTTGCTGCAAAGCAAGAGGATATACCAAGGAACTCTTTGTGGTTTTAGGCATAACTGATCTATGTGAAGTGACCCTGAGTTAGGCACCCTTGCCTATAAAAGCCAGAGAGGCGAAGTGCAAACAAATCAGTCGTTGCCACTTCCAGCATTCTGTCCAAGAATCTCAGAACGGGTCGGGAGAAACCCCTCGAACCAGGCTGGGGCTCAGTTCATCATCCTGGGCTTCAACATAAATTAAGCGCTGTGCCTCTACAGCGTTTCCTCCTTTGATCTAAGGACCTCAGGGCTGTGTACATAATTCTTCCTCCCTCCCTTTATCCTCACAACAGCTCCTGTGGGGTAGGTCAGGCCAAGAGGAAGCATCCAGCCCAAGGTTACTCTGCAAGTCAAAGCAGGGATTAGGCCAGGGGTCACTTGGATTGCGATCTAATGCTCTAACCAGATTTTTGAGGAAGAGGCTCACAAACGGTGAGTGGCACAGCTCACTGGCAACCGGCCTCAGGGTCAGTTCCTGGCATGTCAAGGATCCCTGAGAGTGGGGGTGGGGAAAGGCCTTTCTCTGCCCGAGACTCCAGAGAGCCCCTGCCAGTGAGAACAGACAGGGCCGAGGGACACACATCCATGCCTGCGACAGGTTCGCATGACAAACAGCATTCCCGCTGGATTGTCTCTTCTAAATTGCAGAAAAACACAGCAAGAGATCTTCAGCAAATACCATAGCTTTGTGCCGGTTTTGACAAGCGTCCTCTTCCGCAAGTTTTCTTTTCTTTCTGGGCTCCTGGGGAAGTTCTTCCACAATTCTGTCATCTTCACGTGGTCTTTTGCTTTTAATGGCTTGGATTGCTGCAGCCATTTTGTTTTGAAGCACAGTGTCAGATTCAGGTACCTGGGGGGAGGAAGCATAACAGCACAGGGTAGGTAATTTAATGTGAACAAAACCACTCAGTCTTTTTCATAAAGGATTGGTGTGGTATTTATAGAGAGCCTGTATGGTATAGAAGACCCAGGACTGAATCCCCACTCTGCCACCCAAGGTGGTGGGGTGACTTTGAGCCAGGCACTTTCTCTCAGCCTAGCCTACCTCACAGGGTTGTGGTGAGGATAAAATAGATGGGAGGCAGGGTCATAGCCAGGGTTTTTCGTTTCGTGGGGCAACTTTTTTTGTGTGTGGCACCCATTATCTATATATCTAATAGCCAAGTTGCCCCCGGAGTGCGGATCGCTAAATCAGCGCTCCGGGGGCAGCTGGGGGGCCGGAGGAGGTTTGTGCACACGTGGGCCAGTCCCCACGTGTGCACAAAAATAAAAAAGTTGAAAATTTTTTTGGGGGGGATGTTTAAATTCCCCCAAAAGTGCAAGAGCAGACGCTCTGGAACGTCGCCGCCGCCGCCGGGGGGGGGGAGAGAGAGAGTGCGAGGTGCCCCGGAGACGGGGGGGGAGAGCCGGAAAAAGACGGAGCCGAGGCCCGCGCGGCTTCCAAGCCTCGGGTCGGAGCCGGTGGGGGGGGCAAAGAGAGAGAGAGAGAGTGGGGGGGCGTAAACAGAGAGAGAGACGGAGAGAAAGAGAGAGAGAGAGAGGGGCGAGGGGGGGGGCCGAG